ATTCGCAAACAATTAGACGATTACGTATTGGTATTCAACTTTGTGTGTACTTACTTTTTAAAATTCTTTAAATTATTATAGACCCTCAAAGTGTCAACATATTTTTTTAATGCTTAACACCCTTGATTAATTACTTACATTTCGCTTGTAATTCCGCTAGATATTCCAAATTCAGTTTCCTTTACTTCAATACTTCTTTAAGGTATTTCTTTCCCATTATTAATCTCTTTTGTTTTTTTTTCTGTGCCTGGACAACAATATTCATTTCGCACTTGATCCGCATTCCAATTTTAATTAAGTAAGAACGTTCTCTTCTTAGATTTTATTGTGCCATTTCATTCCAATTGGTTATTTTTACATTCATTACATACAAACATACATATCACGTATTTTATATTGCACTTGTTCAATAAAACTTTTTATGTGCCTTGTCAGCTCTTTTTTGTACTTCTGTCTACCTAGCCTTTCTTCTTGGTTACCAGGTGGCAGCGCTTATGAATTCCTTGTGATAAATTACCTAACGCAGACAAATGGAATTCGCTTATTAATCCAAACACTTCTTAATATTTTTTAATTTGTTTATGCTCCTATTGGCATGTAGCAGAACACTTTTTTTTGCAATGAATAATAATAAAATCGGACTAACTGCTCATTAAAAATGATTAATTAATTGCGCTGAAATGGGACAAAAGCTAAATCGACAACTTGTTTGAATTTCAGAGTGTGTACCCTAACTATGTAAATACATATGTACATACATACTTATACATACTATGGGTTGAGGTGACGATTTGCAAAATTAAATGAATTGAGATCAAGTAAGGTTAAGTGGATTAAGAGGATTAAATAAGTCAGCGGATATTTATATTGATAAAAATTTTGCATTGGGTACGCGTAGAAAAAAAAAAAACTTTTATCTTTTTTTAGGATCACTGAAGTTCTCAAGCTCTAAATCTGGCTACTGAAAAAAAAATATTTTTAAGAAAGTGGTATAAAAATTGTGAGATTTTATTTAGTTATTAAAGGAAAATTATTATTCCAAAACCATTCTTAGGAGAGCTGCTACCTATGTACATATATGCATTTTGTTACACTAAATTCCTTTCTTGAACATTGACCTGAAAGAACTGTAAAAATACACTGGTTTTCTTAGAGAGTCGCCATCTATTTTATGCGAGTGCATAAATAAAATTAAAACTTTGTAAAGTGTTTGTTCTTTTGAGCGCATAACAAGTTCGATTGAGACTTTAAACCGTAAAAATGTGTGATTAGGGTATATAAGTTTACTAAAATATGTAATGAGAAAAACGCGTTTAAGCCTACTCTTGCGCTAAATTATATTTTATACAGTTTTCACCTGCATACAAAATTAAAGTTATTACAATTAACTAAATTTAAAAACAAAGTACGCTTATAAATATGTATTTTACGCACAAGTCACAACGAAAATTTTGTAATACAGTTGCCACCGGCATAAAATATTAAACTGTTTAAAAAAATGTATTTTAGTATTAAATTAAATTTTTATATTATAGGCAAAATAAAAAAAAATACTTATATGGCGCCCATCTACTTGAATATATGAAAATTGAAGAAAATTTTTATCAAGAGAATTATTTAGAGAAAACTTAAAGCTGGAATCAAATCTTGAATTGAAGCTGCATGTACTAAAATATCAAAAATACACGAAAAATAATGTATCTAAAAAGTTATGTGCAAAATATTTAGTTTTTGACGATTTCTTCCATGAACAGTTTTTATGGAAACTTTTAAATTATAAATAAAAAAATTTATTGTTTTTATTTTCGTTTAATTGTAATTAATTTTGTCTTTATTTATGTTATATTTAGTATTATTATATCTGGGAAATCTTATTTTTAATTGTTTTTTTTTTGTTATTTTGTTTGATTTTTAGATAATCTTTTATTTATAATCTATTTGCTTTTTAGTTTTATTTTAGTTTGTTTTTCATTGGATATAATTTTTTTATTTTGTTTTTTTTTTAAATTATCAAATTGTTTTAACGTTTATTTTATTAAATTTTTTATTTGATTTTTAGTTAATTTTACTTTTTACTTTCTTGCTACATTTTTTTAAACATTTGCTGTTTTCTCTTTTTATTTAAATTTACTTTAATTATTTGGGATTAATTTAATTATTCCGTTATTATTTAATTACATTTTTTTGTTAAATTTTCCATCTTCTTTAATTCGTTTAATTTAATTTATTTTTTTTGTTGAATTTTCTACCTTCTTTAATTCGTAATTTTTTTTCTTGATTTCTTTCATTTGATTTTTTTTATTATATATCGAGCCATAACTGCCAAAAAGGCGTAAGCGATATCTTTTTCAATTTTTTTTTATGTAGAGCATCTAGATGCATTTCTACAGCAAAAATTAAATTTTGAAAGAAATGGCGCTTACGTCTTTTTGGCTTTTAGTTTCTTTTAATGAATCAAATTTTATTTAATTTAAATTTTTCTTATATAATTTTGTTTTGTTTTATTTTTGTACTTGATTATTTTTACGGTTTCGTTTTTTATTAAATTTTTTCTAAACATTTATTTCATTCATATACGTTTTTTTCATCTCAATCATTTTTTTTGTTAATATTTCTTATTTTTCGTTTTATTTAATATTTTTTTGTGGTTTTTTCAATTTTCTACTTGTTTATTATTTTTATATTTTATTTTAATAAATTTTGTTTAATTGCATTTAATTTACCTTTATATACTGTTTTTTATTTTATTATTTTTTTTTATTTTTTCTTATTTTTTACCTTTTTACTCAATTTGTTTTCATTCGTCTTTCTTCTTTTATTTTTTTTTAAATTAATGTTTAACAAATTTAAAAAAATCGGTATTTAAAAAAAATTTATGAAAAATCAAATTTTTGTAGATTTTTTAAACTATTTCATAGCAAATCTCTTACTCCACACTTTCCCATAATCCAACTGGCTTGCCTCAGAATTCTTTACAAGACCTCATTAACCATTTATTTGTGGTCAAGTACTAACAAGTTAATTAATGCATACATACATTCATTCGTTTTAATTGAATTCGTAAATCAATCTAAAATGTCTTCTATTTACTCTGCACATTACGTAATCCAAATTATATGATTCTAATTAAATATTCTGCAAACAAGTTCTCATTACCAGCGAATGCAAATGCAAATGTAAATTTAAATAAATCAAAAAGCAAACAGCGCGTGTCCGATTGCAACCAGTTCTTTGCTTTGGCTAGCAAATTACAAGACCGACGAAGTAACCACCACTGCGCCACCCAACCAAAATGCCACTCACAACAGGTGAAATCAAATCAGCACCTACTTATCACTAAAAAAAAAAAATAATTTTTATTTCCATGTTATTCTAGACGCTTTGCAGTTTCGCAATACACAGTAGTTCCGTTAGAGTATTGCAAAAAAATGCACACAGTTTGACGGAAATATAAAAAATATATTAAATAATCAAGTTAACGAATTTTTGAGCCGTCAACCTTGAGTTCGTGCGGTAGCCGAATTTTGAGTGAAATCGAAGTATTGCAGCAATTTGTGAGACTAGTTTTATTTTTCTTACTTGCAATTCTATATTTTTTAGTTGCATACGTTGAAAATTAGAATGATTTAGGCGTATTGATGAATAAATTTGAAGTCGTTGAAAAATTATTATGTAGAATTCTGGTCATTTATTTATGTGATCAGCTTATTTATTTTGAATAATTGGGTGGCATTTGACTTTTAAGCTCAAATTATTTTGTATTTTTTAGGACAGTAGGCGTATTCTTAAGCCTATCAGGACGGAGTTTTATTAAAAAAAAAAACTTAAATAATCGTGATTGCAATTTTCGCATATTCTGAAATAATGGGCTAAAAAAATTAAAGTTCCGCCTACTCAGAAGGCCCGTTATTGTCATTTTATACTGGAACATGACCAACTAACTCTTATTCAACCAAGTGGTATTCAAGTGATGTTAATCTAGTATATAATTAAAATATTAGAAGATAATTTAGTTTACTAAGTTTGAAGTAGAGGAGTATATTAAAAAATATTCTGAAAAGTCTGAACCCTCTTTTCTATGGATTGAAAGGTCGGTTCTCTCCGCAAGTCTCCGGTAATCTTAAGCTCAGATTGACAGCTTTTTACGCCGTTTTTCAGGCAGAGTTGGCCGCTATAAAAGAAGCAGCCGATGGGCAACGCAGTAGCGTATTACCGATTAGAAGGGTGTCTCTTCTCTGATAACCAAGCGGCCCAAGGATCACTCATAGTACGATTAAAACTGGAGGGGGGATGCCCGGCCCCTCTCCAAATCGTCTTGAACTACTTTCCAATTAAATTGATTTGAGAATTAGCTAGGCATGGTACCCTGTCATCATTTCCCCGGATAGAGGACGAATGGGATTTTCATTAATAGGTGTTTTTTTTTTTCTTCTGAAAAGCTATGTTCGTCCAAATTCTATTTTTAAAAAATAAACAGTTTTTTTCTCAAAAACTGGACGTGCTAGAAAAGTTTTGAAAATGCACCTCAAATGACCATCAAGAAATTTATAAGATGAGGTTGGCACAGTTTTTGAGACAAAATACAACCAAATTTTGTTGAGCCGTGTTTTTTAAAGCACTCCAACACGATATGTATGTATTTGCATGTGGAAATGTAACTTTTGACATAACTATGCAATTTACCTCTGTATGAAACGGATTCACGTACGTGCATGCATACAACGACACAGGAACGCTTCTTTTTTATCTGACTCGCAGATAAAATCTGCTGTGTTTTGTTTACTTATTTCGTTTTGAAAGAACGTTATTTTAAAACGTACACTAACTAGAGTGAATTTAACAGACACACATGGTGACACCTACACATGCAAATACCTACATACATATCGCGTCAGATGGCTTTTAGAAGTTTCATAGGCAAAGCATATACAGTCTTGTTTTGAGAATCATCTGTGAAACATGACTTGAAGTTAGTTTTTTTTTTTTTTATATCGTTGTAGGTTCATTGTGTTACGAAGTATTCAAGAAAGACGTTAACTACTTACATTCAATAAAACTCGCGTCAATCGCGCTCATAACAGTTGCAAGGAAGCACAGTCTCCATCAAAATGTTCACCAGACTAGCAGCAACACAAACTCTCACTAAAGGCCCACGCCCACTAGTTTTATGCGGACCGTCCGGCTCTGGGAAGAGCACGCTGCTGAAACGTCTCTTTGCAGAATTTCCAAACACTTTTGGTTTCAGCATTTCGCATACAACGCGTGCGCCACGTGCCGGTGAGGTGCATGGCATCCATTACTACTTTGTCGATCAGCAGGAAATGCAGAAAAAGATCGCGAATGATGAATTCATTGAGACCGCAATTTTCAGCGGCAATATGTATGGCACCAGTAAGGCAGCAGTGCGTGAGATACAGCAGGCGGGCAAAGTGTGCGTACTGGATATAGAGCCGCAAGGTGTGGAGCAAATTAAAAAGACGGACTTGAATCCAATTTTGGTTTTCAACAATCCACCAACAATCCGAGATTTGGAATTGCGTTTGCGCAAGCGCCAAACTGAAACGGAGGAAACATTGCAAAAGCGACTGACTGCAGCTGTAGAGGAGATAGCATATGGGCTGAAGAATGGAAATTTTCATAAGATTATTAATAATATTGAAATTGATGCAGCTTACCTAGAGTTCAGAGATTTCATTGTGAACGAGTTGAAGAAGCAAGAGGCCGAAGGTGTTCGTATTCGTTGGGAATGAATCTTAGACTTGGAAGTGTTGAAAAATTACGAAATAATAGTCGAGTTCATGTTGTCAATAGAAGATAAGAACATATGTAATGAAGATGACGTTAAATAAAAGAAATTAACTTTTAAAATCGGTTGCTTCAATTTATGCTAAGTCCATCCTGACAAGAGCTTTTCCGAGCCATGAAATCTGAACCAGATTTAACCCATATTGCACACAATAAGAAGCGTATCAGCTAAGCCTAAATAAAAGAGCCCAAAATGACAGTTCAATGGCAATGCGGGTTGAACTAAACAGTTTTAACCACTTTCCTCAAAATTTGAATTTGATTTCCAAAACTCTTTCCACAATTTGAGAAAATTCACTAGCCTGAAATCTTTATTTTACTTTAGTACCACTTGCTAACTTTCAATCTCATCTGAGTAAATAAATACCATGCGCGACTCGTCAAATTTTCATATCAAATGCGAATACTTAGTAACAAAATCTTGTAAACAAACAGATACTTTGGAGCAATTTTAGACAGATATTGCAAATATTTATCTTATGTCGAATGGAGCTAGGTAAGTAGAGATAGAGCATGTAAGGCTCAGGTACGTCTATCCACAGAATAATAGGAGCTTCAGCTTCTACAGTGTCGTCCAGTGTTATGTAGGTCTAACAAGCCAGCTCCGTTCTCTCAATTTTTAACCTACGAGTTCAATAGAAATGCCCTGTTCGATCGGACTCGCGATGAATGTCACTCAAGGCCTGTCGGTAGCCCATCGGAGGCAGGATTTTAAATTTTCCTTTTAAGTTCACATGCCGAAGCAGCGACTCTGCCTAAGAACTGCATCAGTTCTATTCCAACATATATTGCCTGCCCTCTGTATTACTTAAAATGGACGCTGATAATGAGCACAGAATCATCGGTCTTTGGTGGTCTTTATTAGACTTTCCTGAGTTTTATAACTTAATTCACTGCGTACAAGTAATGTCTGGTGCGAATGTTGGCGCTACATATTTTAGAAGCTTTTTAAATATTGTGAAACTTATAATAGATTGAGTTATGATGGCCTTGGGTTGATAATAGATAACAGAAACCTAGAACTGACCAATTGATTCAGAAAAATCAAACATTTTATAAGGGTTAAACTTGAAAATTGCCTGCGAAGTGAGGAAAAGTCTGAATGAGAATGATTTGTTAGTCCTTTGACAGCTTGTTATTTGCATACAGGTCTGCTACTGATCTGACGAAGGATTATGTCATCTAGCTAATATGAGACGGGGTATTAAAGTCATTCGATGATCTCCTAGTCTCACTGAATTTAAATTTAACATC